GGGTCCAGAGATTTCAGTCTACAAACTGACCAAAAATGGTGACTCTAGCTATAAATATGTGGCCGTGAGGGCGAGTTTAAAATGTTTTTTTGTCTTAAAAAAACGGCTGCCTCACACTCTAGCTTTTCAGTCTCTCCACTCTAGAAGGCTGGATTTTGCCAAAACTTTGTGGCGCTTGAGGTCTGATTATACAAAAACCGTAGCAGTTATCAACATGCCGTCTTCAGTTTTGTGCAGATGAAGGATTTATCTACAAACTGAGCTTTAAACTGTTTTTCTACGTGAATGTATGCCGACACAGTGAAGCGCTGTTTTTTATGCTTTTTTTTACCTCTCCCCATTCATTTCCTATGGGATTTTTTTGCGACGTTTTCGCTAATAATTCGCAAACCTTCGGACTAATGAGAAAGTTTTATACAAGCACGCATCGCACCATTGGTCCCGACGCGTGTGCCAACTTTGGGCCCGATCCGACGAATGGTGCGTGACTAGTTACACGCCGAAGTTTTTAGGGGACGAGGAGAACTATAAGCTATAATAATAATACGCGGAATAAATATGTGCAATAGTAATAGGTGGGCCATGCCTTCGGCATGTGGCCCCCCTAATAAAAATTAACTGAGGATTACAAAGACTGGTGAATAAGCACAGACCTGACGGTTGAGTGACTGCTAGTAGCCATGGGAATCAATATGAGCAAAAAACAGTCTGACGGGCTGACACCAGCCAAATTGGTAATATTGACACACCCATCCAATAAACGCAAAATTCAAAAATGCATGACCAAATGGCATAAGATGACATCTGGAAAAAATCGTTGGCCTAAAGAAGGCAGCTTTGATCCTTCATGCTGTGATGAAGTTGAAGAAAGATTGAGAAATAAAGATAAAAAACGGGACCGGATGCTTTTGCATAAAAAACAGAGGCATGCTGAACAGAGAGACATCCTGCAATATTTCAAAGTAGAACACCAAAAGAGCCCAACAGCCCCTGAGTACATTAATCATAAACCACCACCTTATCACCCTAGCGCAGCAGGTCACTACCCAGTTGTGATAGAGTCAGGCAGAAAGGGAAAGATTACAGGGCAACTTAAATTAGTTTTAGAAGAAGAGGAAGAAACAGAAAAAGAAATGAGCTGCTCAGAGCCCAGGACCAAGTCAACATACAAAGGCCACACAGATCCCAAGATAGAGTTATGTTTGGATGAAACTGAATCACTGGCAAAAGAGATAAACCAGGACTTGGTGCAACTAACGGAAACATTTGTACGACTCAAGGAGCAAGAGTTGGAAGAGAAAGCACAAAATAGACGATTAAAAATTTTTAAAGAGACAATAGAAAAACAAAAAGAGAAGAAAAGACGAGATGAAGAATTGGAAAAATTGAAGAGAATGGAAGCGGAGCAGCTCATAATAGAGGCCAAAACTGATTACCCAGACCTGCCAAGCCCACGGACTTTGTCTCTGATCGAAGAGGCAGGAAGGAGAGGGGGAAAAGACATGGAATATGAGGAAGAGGGAGGTGATGTGTCCGAATGGGAGGACAGTGAAGGCTCAGACATACTGCCAACTACAAACCCATTCTATGAGGGGTTCAAGGAGGAAGCAGGCTAGCAGCAAAAGAAAGGAAGCCACTCACAGCTGAGTGTGACGTGGGGCTGCAAATAGTAAAAAGCGGCCCTAGCCCAATGGTGACCAGGTCCAAGACGCGACAGCAGAAGACAGGACAAAATCAAGGAGGGGCCTATATGGCTCCCTTGCTGTCTAAAGGACCTCATGACGACAGATACGTGCCATGGTCTTTTATGGACATGTTAAACCTGGCTGGAAGGCTGACCCCATTGGCAGATGGTGCTGACAGATGGATAGAAAAGCTGGAAGAAATCACTGGAGGCATCAATCTGGCAGCTGGAGACATCAAGGCGCTGCTAATTAAAACAGCAGGACACTCAGCAGCCAGAGAGGTGTTTGACGAAGCCCAGCTTCCAAGGGTCATGACCTCACACCAGTATGACAAGATACCATTCAACCAAATAAGACGCAAGGTGTGGGCGGCCTTAAGGAACAAATACCCCACCTGCAGTGATCCAACTAAGCTGAGACAAGAATGCCTAAAGGATGATGAAAGCCCCGCCCAGTTTCTGCACAGGTTCCAACAGAAATGGAAAACAGAGACTGGAAGTGATGGGAATGAACTGAAAACATCTGGCCCTCTATTCAGAACCTACATCAGAGAGGCCATGCCCAAAGAAGTACAAGCCAAACTGGACGGAGTTGTGGGGCTCATGAAGATGGACTGGCCTCTGTTCTCTGAGCATGTTATTCACTATGTAAACATGCATCGGGCCCAGAAACGGGCCTTTGAGGACCAAAGCAAGATGCTGGCTACCAAGCTAACCCAGCTGCAGATTGGGGAATTGTCCAAAGCAAAGAAAGAGAAAGAGAAGCCCAAGCATCAAGCTGCACTGACTGTGGTGGCCACACCCCCAACCGAGGGAGCACCAACAGGGGAGGCAGTGGTACAAGCACCAATAGTGTCTCCTGTTATTCCTCCACCCACACAGCAGATGCAGTATCCAGCAGCGCCACCTGTGGGAGGTGCCCTGCCACCGCAGACCCAACCTCAACCAGTCCCTCCTATTCATGTGCATCTAAACCAAGGAGGAGGTCCCCAACAAGCAACGTTCGGAAGGGGACGAGGGGGGCCACCCATGCGGGGAAGATGGAGGGGCCCACAAGGAGCCCCAAGAAGGCCCCCTCAAGGCCAATACCAGCAGATGCCACAGGCCGGTCCAGACATGGGACAACAGCGAGTGAGAATGCAATGCTGGGGATGTGGACAAGTTGGACACATGCAAAGAGACTGCCCCACTAACCCATGGATGGGACCCCAGCCCCCTACTGCTGGACCAGCCACCTATGGAACGGGACAAGACACGTACTGGCTATAGGGGTGCCCAGAGAAACCTGATGGAGAGGCCATTCTACCTGTATCGGTCTTTGTCAGACACGTGACTGACACGCCCCCTAGCGCCATTTTTGTGGTGAGCAGAAGAAAAACAAAACAGCAGAAAACAAGAGGAGAGCGCTGCAAGCCAGCAGTGAGGATTATCAGTTAAATGGAAAAGAACAAGAAAACTGAACGGATACCCTACCCAGACAAACTTTCTAAAGCTGCTAGGGAACGATATTATATATTATTACAGTGACAAGGCAGATGTTGTGGGCAGTTGCACAGATAGCTGCAGTTATTAGAGTAGTTTGTGCTGCTCATCAGACTGAACGAAAAAACTTGTCATAATTTTTGCACATTGATAAGTTGCACACTGTATTTGCTGTTCACTTTATCCAGGCCTGTTTTCACTGGGATCTGCAGTCTTCTTCACAGATATCACCTGTTAGGTAATATCTCTACGGAAGACCACAGTGAAAACAAGTCCTGGGAAAATGAAAATCTTCTAATTTAATCTAAAGAGCAATCTGCTATATACGAGGGAGGAAGACAAAGTAAAACATTTGAAGCTTTGCACTGTTCTGCATTATTTATGTATTTGAGATTTTGTATTGCATTTTCATAAATTCTCTCCTTGATTGAAAAGATAATAACAACACTTGTTTCAAATTTCAAATCCACTCTTTATTGTACACACATTTTTACAACCTTAGAAACATTGTTAATATTTGAAGTGATGGTGAAACTTGTATTTGTTTTGCTGTTATTTTTCAAAAGTAACTTTAAAAAAAGCAAAATTCTATTTGTGTGAAAAGAAGAATAAAAAAAGAAGAATAAAGTTGAAACAGTACTTGATCTTGCATTCATTTATTAGCTGGTTTCTCTGTGAAAATTTCAAAACAGTCAATAATCACTGTGACTCTATGTCCAAAGGCATCCACAAACTGATGAGTCATAATTTTGTGCAAGGTGTCTATCTGGCCACACAATTGCACGCTTTAGATTTGCATATAAAAATGACACCATTTCATTGAATGTTCTGTACACTGTCTTTGGTGAAACACGGAAGAGATAAGCAAGGTGTTTTGAGGGCAGATCCAATCTCAGACGCATGAAGGTTAACAGAAGCATTTGAAATGGACTGAGAATTTTATTTTGAGCAGACATGAGAGGCAGCAGAAAATTAAACAAAGCCATAAAGGTTGCCAAGTTTGGTAGACCCGTATAGTACTTGACTTTTTCATTACTGTCTCCAAAGAAGCAATCAGAGATCTGCAGCTCATCAAGTTCACGCCGCAGCTCTCTGTTTTCTTCCAAAAGACGGTTCATCTCTGCACACCTGAGCACACACAGGTTACATTCTGTCTGTCCTTCCTGACGACCACCTTCTGTGTCATCCTTGGTGTCTGGCCGGCCAACGTTTTCAGCAGCCTTCTGCGCGTCAGTCTGTTGCTGGTTAGGGTTTTCTGTCGCCTCATGTGTAACTTCATCCTGTCGCTGAAGGATTTCATCAGCCTGATGGAGCCCCGTTTCAGTTGCTTGCAGGGCATTTCAGCTGTTCCCGATAACCACGTCTTAAAGAGTGGTCTGTGTCTGTTGGTTTGATGTCAGTGTGGCCCAGATGCAGGGATGGAGCCCAGTCTGGGTCAGTCTCCATCATCTCATATGCGGGTTGACCTGCAAAGTAGATGAAAGGTTGAGTGTTTTACACATCTATTCAAAACACTATATAAAGCACCTTAATAACAGAGCCCATTAGATTAGATGAGTTATAAAATAAGATATGCTTATGTTTCCCACAGTGGGGAAATTTGCTATACCGAAACAGCACAAGTACATCGGACTAGTAAGGCCAGAGGTAAATAAATAAACTGAAAAGCTTACAGACGAACAAAGGATTATAATAAATAAACTTAATTAGATTGCACAGGATGAATAAATGCAGTGAGTTGGCTGACGAGTGGGTATGTACAGTGTTTTTATATGTACACTGTATTTATATATATTTATTCATAAAAAAATATATTTGTATTGCAGATTGTGTAAATGATTATATACAGATAATGCATTATTTATTAAATTTTAGCGGTCTAAAAAAGAAATAAAACAAACATCACTTTCCCCTTCTCTTCCACAACATGTTTCAGTAGGTTTACATGAACTCCTGCAACTTTATAAGCAAACCATTTCAGCGTGTTGATTTCTATTAGTGTATATTTATAAGGACTTACCTTTGTGAAAATGCCGAGAGCAAACACGAACATGAGGAGATATTTTATGAAACGTGATGTCTTTCCTTCTTACAGCAGCGACCCACGGAGCCCGACGCCTCTTTGTTAAGTCCTCTGTCTGCGGTCCGTATTTTTTTTCCAAGTGGGGAATACGAAAAACCGTAAGGCCCCATCTGCTGTTTTCTGTTTAGAATTACTATTGCATCCTTTGACGCAGCACCAGTGTCCCATTATTTCCAAAGAAGCAACTAGAACACGTCTGCTCTCTGTTAGTTTTCTTTTGTTTGTTGCTGCTGTCTCTTCACCACAGAAATGGCGCTAACTACCCTAAATGAATTGCGCTTTTGCGGAAGTGACGTACACTGTCACAGACCGATTAACCCAACGTCCACAAACAGAACCCACCATGGATGTCACAATATATGACAGCCATCATCGCTTTATGATTGATACAGGAGCGGCCTACTCCTGTATAGGAAAAAGTGGAATTGGCCTGCCTCTCTCAGCATCAAAGATTCGAACAGTAGGTTTCTCTGGGAAGACCCAAATAATACCCATGACTAAGCCAGTTCCCATGATCATAGGTGAAAAGACTGTGTATGCACCACTACTTTACTCAGAAGATACGCCCATAAATCTGCTGGGTAGAGATGTGCTGTGCCAGCTCAATGCAAAAATTAAATGTACCCCTAATGGAATTTATTTTGAAGCAACAGACAAGAATGAAGCCTACATGATGCCAATAGGCCTGCAAATGACCCCCCAGATAACAAGCCATGAGCCAGAAGACCAAGTATTTTGGCTGAAACTCACATCACCAACCTCCTTCCTCCAACTAGAGTGGGAAACATGGAGACCCCTGATAATGAATCACTACGAGAAATCTAAAGAACCTTTTCTTCCACTCCATTGTACCATGTTTTATGACAAAGGCAAAACACATGAAGACTACGAGAAAAGCTGGTATGAAGACATAAATAACAAAACAACTGTGATCCAGTATGCAGACATAGTGGTTGGACCACAAGGAGCTGCAGCTGTTGTCACATTTCCTGATAAAGATGTAGCAGAATGGTTCCAGGTTACCAACTCAGCACCACATGTCACATTACTGATTGCAGACGAATATGAGTCACATGATCTAGGACCCATGGTTCAAGAAGCCAAGCAAGTCACCGAATGGATTGCTACAGCATGGGACTGCATTAGCATGTCAAAAGATGGACTGTTTTTCAAGATCTCGTATTCACAAGCTGATGAAGTAATTGCAGAACATATTAAAGTTCCTGGGAAAAGACAAATGGCAGTGGCGGCAGAACATGAATCCCTATTAGAACAAGTCCCAGAGCAGGTATGGTCTAAAAGTAAGACAGATGTAGGATTAGTAAAATCAGCAGACCCCATCAAATTCACCATTAAACCAAATGCTAAATTGCCCTTCCAAAGACAGTACCCACTTAAACGAGAGGCAGTAGAAGGAATACAGCCTATCATTACAGGATTAGAAACAGCAGGAGTTCTTAAACCAACAGTAAGCCCCTGTAACACCCCAATTTTTCCCATAAGAAAGCCCAACAGTAATGACTATAGATTAGTCCATGATCTAAGATTGATTAATGCTATTGTAGCAGAAGAAATACCAGTAGTACCCGACCCACACACACTACTGAGTAATATACCTCCAGGTACCAAATGGTTTACTGTGATTGATCTGTGTTCAGCATTCTTCAGTGTACCGGTCCATCCAGATTCCCAGTATTTATTTGCATTTATGTACAAAGGCCAACAATATACATATTCGCGATTACCACAGGGTTTCGTACACTCACCATCAATTTTCAATCGTGTACTGGCAAATGACTTAAATCACCTTGACATACCATCTACAATGTTGATGTATGTTGATGATATTCTGATTTGTTCTGTTTCTAAAGAACAGTGTGAGAGAGACTCCATTACAGTGTTGACTGCTTTGGCAGAAGGAGGACACAAAGTAAGTAAACAAAAATTGCAATTCTGCCAGCAAACAGTGGAGTATCTCGGCAGGCAACTTAGTGGGGACAAGAGGTGTATTGCACCGTCCCAACTGGAAGCCATAACCCAAATGCCCAAACCTCAGACTGTTGGTCACATGTTGTCTTTCCTTGGCATGGCAGGTTACAGCAGACCGTGGGTGTGTGATTATGCCATCAAAACGGCTCCACTGAGAGCAATGATTAAAGCCTCAGGTCAAGGACACCAGTCGGCTCAATTACAATGGACAGATGAGGCAGAGGGTGCGTTCCAGCTGCTGAAACAAGATCTCCAAACTGCTCCTGCTCTGGCCAATCCAGATTATGGCAAACCATTCCATCTCTATGTGGCTGAGCGACAAGGGTATGCATGTGCAGTATTGATGCAAGACACCCCAACAGGTAAACAGCCAATTTCTTATTACAGCACAAAATTAGATGGTGTCGAAGAAGGTCTGCCTCCCTGCTACCAGGGTTTGGCAGCAGCAGCCTTCGCCTACAAAAAGGCCTCAGTTATTACTATGGGCCACCCTGTTATTCTGTACACATCACATCAATTACATGCACTGCTCACCAGCCCACGCTTTGTGATAACCCAAGCTCGTCGAACAGGTTATGAAGTTCTGCTTTCAGGACCTGATTTAACAATACAACGTTGTACCACCATTAACCCAGCCAAAAGAATGGTATTACCCACAGAAGGTGAGCCCCATGATTGTCTCCAGGAGACGGACACCTTCATGAAGGTAAGGGAGGACTTATACAATCATCCAATCCCATCTGATCTGACGCTGTTCGTAGACGGATCATGCGTCAGAGGTGACACAGGGAATAGAGCTGGATATGGAATAGTCCTACTTAACCCCGATGGGACCTTTACCAAGGTACAATCAATGAGTCTAGATCAACCTTGCTCTGCCCAATTGGCAGAGATAAAAGCATTAACAGCTGCATGTAAATTGGCTACTGGTAAAAGAGTTACAATCTATCCTGACAGTGCTTATGGGTACGGGGTATGCCATATAAACCCTAGCATCTGGAAACAACGAGGGTTTGTTAGAACAGATGGCACCCCAGTGACACATGGGCAAGCAGTAGTAGAGTTAATAAAAGCTATGCAACTTCCATCTGCGTTAGCTATTGTAAAATGTGCTGCTCATCAAACAGCAAAAACACCTATTGCAATTGGAAATAACTTAGCAAATGAGGCAGCTAAAGAAGCCACAGGTTCAGCAGGGCAGGGACCAATGGTTCATGTAGCTGAGTGTGAACCCATTACTAATTTGGCCTCCTTAATAGAAGCCCAAAATAACTTATCTGAAGCAGAAAAACGCCTATGGGTACAAAGGGGGGCAGCTCGGTTAACACACCCCCACGATGGATTGTGGCGTAGTTCTCAAGGACATTTTGTACTACCTTTGTCCTTATTACCGACAGGCATTAAAATAATGCATGGACCTGATCATTGTTCACGAGCCCAAGTTGTTCAAAAGTTACAGGCAGTTTGGTGGTCACCTTATATGACACCTATGGTAGACAGAGAACTGGCCTTATGTCCACATTACCCTAAGTACAATGTGTGTAAAATGTTTACTCAACCCTTAGCACATATCCCTATGCCAGACGGTCCGTTCCGCCATCTGATGATGGATTACGTAGACATGATAACTCGGGTTCAGGGAAAGAGGTACATGTTGGTGGTTGTTTGTAGGTTTAGCAGATGGGTAGAAGCATGTCCCACTGCTCATAATGACCACAAAGCAGCAGCACGGTTTTTGTGTAAAGAAGTTTTTCCCAGATTTGGCATGCCTGACACAATATCATCTGATAACGGACCACATTTTGTTTCACAGGTGATCCAGCAAATGTTTAAACTGTTGTGCATAAAACAGAAGTTTGGTTGTGTGTATCATCCCCAGTCACAGGGATCAGTGGAACGAGCTAACGGGATCCTGAAATCGAAGATTGCTAAGATAATAGCTGACAGCAACAACCGTTTGACTTGGGTGGACGCCTTGCCTGTTGCATTAATGGCAATGCGTTCTCAAACTAACCGCATAACCCATCTTACTCCTCATGAAATGCTTACAGGTCGACCAATGCAATGATGATGATCCTTCTGCCACTGAGACTTCTTCTGGGTCTCACCCAGATCCATCCGTCGTTCAGGCACTGGACGAACTTCTTTCTTCTGGCCCATCAGATGCTGGTGGAGTCCTGTCCCCTTAACATCCCTCACCTGCACCTTTCCCTCTCATCCCCTCCCTTTCCCCTTCCTCCTCCGAAGCAAGTGGGCCGCCGATCCACTCGGTCCTGCCCACCCCATCGCCGTCTGGGCGTCTCCCGTATGCGCCTTCTTCAGACTTTGATTAACTTTCTTGTTGTGTTAACCCTTTGTGGGTTAACAAGGGGGGATCTTATGAAAATTAATACTAACAGTGCACACACACATTTAATGCGTCACACACAAACATGTGCACTAGCAATGGTAACACTAGCTACTAACCAAGGGGTAATCAATAATAATGATGGAGAAAATTTATCACTAATGCATGTGCAAGTCAAAGAATATGATTATGTAATGTCTGAAGAAATTTTAGGTAACTCAATGGGGAAACATTGGCTTGGAGTTCCACAAAGCATGGACTGCCGTGAGGATGGGATGGTGATCATTGAGGTAAGATGCAAAATGAACATATGCCAAAACACATTAACAGAGCAGGTAATGACGGTAGGGAAAGCGCATAGAATGGTAAAATTGGTAAACAAAAGGCAGAAAAGAGATCTAGACAAATTAAAGACTGCACACTGGGAAACCAATATGTTCCAACAATGGATTCAGTACTCTGTCCAGGCAATGTTCAAAGCCTAAAAGCGCCCTAAAGATGACTGTATAGCCTGCTATAATGCTAAAAAATTACCAGCCCTTCAGATTATTCCCGGAAGTAAGGGGAAAATATCTTGAGGCAGCAGGAATGATTCTAGGGGCAGTAATACTAATTATATTGATAGTTGTGTGTTGCATTATACCCCTTGTTCGGGGACTGGTCTCAAGACTTGTTGTAAGTGTAACTGGTCAGTTCCCAGTTGTAGAGATACAATTGGACCAAGAGATATAAAACATAACCATGATCACCTTCCACCCTCACCAGGTACGTGCATTTCTTTAATAACAACAGTGTATATATATAAATATTTTGCATAACAATGACTTATATACTTACTCACGTAGATATAGCAACTTGCATGCTGAATAATCCATAGATATAAGAGATAATATGCCTTCAGATGATGCCTAAATTTGCCATACTATGTCCCCACAGGTAGAT